GCCGCCTCCTCCGACGAGGAGGCCGCCGAGGAGCCGCGGAGCCGGCGGGCGCGCGCCGCCCCGCCGGGCAGGGCCCTCAAGGTGCCGCTCTTCCCCGGCCTCAACGCCTCCGCCATCAAGGTAAGGGGGAAGCGAGGAGGAGGGGGATGCGGGGGGCGCCCGGCGCCGCTGCCAGCCCCACGGTGCCCGCAGGCCAAGCTGAGGGGCCGGAACCGCTCGGCCGAGGAGGGCCCGCAGGCGGCGGGCGGCAGGAGCAGCCCCGCCAGGGAGCCCCACGTGCAGCGCTCCAGGTCCTGCAAGCTGCCCGGCGCCGGCGCGCGGCCGCTGCCGCTGCCCCCCAAGCCCGAGAAGCCCCCCGGGTGAGCGGCGGGGACGCGTGGGGTGGCCCCTCCACGCGGCCGGGCCCTTGGGGCTCTCGGTGCCTCGGCGGTGTTCGGCTGTTGCCGGAGGTGTTGGCCGCCCGCGGGGTGCCGGGAGCAGATCGGTTGTGAGGGTGCTGGGGAAGGGGTGCCTCGGCGGGGGCTGTGGGGCTGTAGCTGGTGGGGCACAGGCGCTGGGGTGAGTGTGGGCACAGGGGTGCTCTGGGGCACAGGCGGTTTGGGGGTGTTAGGGGAGTAAAGGGTGCAGGGTGCAGAGGGGCTGTGGGCAACGGGGGTGGTCGTGGATGCGCAGAGGTGTTGCAGTGTCACCCGTTGGTGGTAGCAACAGGGTGTTAAAGCGCAGCAGGAGGGCGGTGTGGGGGTGTAAAGGGCAGTTTGGGTGTTGTGCGGTAGGGGTGTGAAGGGCAAATGGGTGTTGCGGCGCGGCGGTGCTCTGGCCAAGCGCCTGGGGCGAGCGGTGCGGCGCGTCGCGCGGTGTCGCGTGGCCGCCTGTTGCCGGCTGTTGCCCGAGCGCCGTCCGCCGGCGCCTGAGCCGCGGTGGCGCCGCAGGCCGGACGCCGCCGCCCCGCACTGGCTGCAGGCGCTCAAGCTGAAGAAGAAGAAGCCGTGAGCGGCGCGGGAGCGACGGGCCCCGGTGCTGCCACCGGCGCCACCCGCGCAGGGCGCCGCCCCGCGCTCGCGCTGCCGGTGCTGCCGGGCTCCGCGTCCTGCCGCCGGCCCCACACTCATCTATGCACTTTGTCCGACGCTCGCGCTGTGCCCGTCCCCGCCGTCGTCCCGGCCATTCGGCCACCCCATCTTGTCCCCTGTGTTGGGGGGACAGGGCGGGGGGGCCTCCCCGCTCCTTGCCCCGCAGCCGCCGAGCAACAGGTCAATATTTCGGTGCCACTTTGCCAAGACAATAAAACACTTTGGGTTGGTTCGCGAGGCCTCCGCTCCCTGCGCGGCCCCCCGAGGGCGTGTGTGTGGGTGTTGGGGGGTCGCCCGCAATGGGGGGGGTGCTGCCCCATCCCGGGCCACCGGGGTGTCCCCGGCGCCCCCCCGGCCCGCCGGGCCCGGCCCTTTCCCCGGCTCCCAGCGGAACCCAGGGCTGTTTATTTTCCTTTCCCCGCCGCTCCTCCGGCCGCGGCTGGCGGAAAAGGGGAGCGAGCGGCTCCAAGGCTCCTTCCCAGGTAGGATGTGAGTAAGGCCGAGCGTGCTGGGAGGAAGCTGCCCTGTCCCAGTGCCCCGGGAGCCCTTCCTGGCACGGAGAGCAGCGCCGGCACGGGGGTCTGCAGCCCCCGCCGGCAATAACGGGGCCGGGGTCCCCCAAATTCCCCACTGCCCTGGCCAGGGCTCCCCGGGGAGCTGCACCCCGACCTCGGCTCCGGGAATAATTTAAAGCTTCCCCCCTGCCCCCAGGCTGGGCAAAACTTGCATCTGGTCAAGGGCGGTTCAGCAAGGGGAAACTGTGGTGCCTAATTCCACCTTTTTCTTCTTTTTTTCTTTTCTTTTCTCCCTTATTGCCCTCAAACACCTACATGTGCGTGCAGCTCCCTGCGCCCGTGCAGGTGCCCGCAGGAAGGGGTTACTCACCCCTCCGTGCTACCCACGGCAGCCCAAAATAACCCGGGCGGGTATAAATAGGGATCCATCCGAGCGGGAACATCTCCCCGCGCAGCGCTCCCGCCGCTATCAGCGCTTTAATTAGCGCTTTTATTTCCCGGATTTGTTCTCTCTCGGTCGCCGAGAGGCGAGAGCAGCGTCTGTCCCCGCCGGGCTCCCCTCGCCCTGGCGCGGCCGCCCGTTTCTTCCACAAAAAGCGGCTTCCAAAGGGATGCGGGTCCCGCCGTGGGGGCAATGAAGGGGTTAACTTGGGGCTGCCGCTGTCCCAGGTCATTAGAGGATTTTATTTTTCCACACCTCCCTCCCAGGCCGCTGTCCCTGCGCTCCCCTCGGGGCCCTTTGCTTGGAAAAAGCTTCCCCGAATTCCCCAATCCTATCAGGGAGCGTCGCGGCGCCTTTTCATCTGCTATCGGCTGCCCCGCAACGCCGGGATCGTGATCGCGTTAGCGCCCGGGCGGGATGGGGGACGGGGGGCGAGGGCGGCCCCGAGCCCTGGCTCCCTTCGGACAGGGAGATGCACGGGGAAAAAAAAAAAATAAAAAAAAAAAAAAAAAAAAAAAAAAAAAGGTAAAACCTGCAAAAATGCAGGAAAAAAGTTGTAAACCTGCAAAAAATAAAATGCAAAATGCAAAATGCAAAATGCAAAATGCAAAATAAAAAATAAAAAATAAAAAATAAAAAATAAAAAATATAGCATAAAGTGAAAAAAAAGAGCCAAAAAAAGGAAAACCAAATTAAAAAAAAAAGCCAAACCCACCATCTATTTGAGGGGCGAGATGGGATTTTTTTTCCCATTTTCTTGGGTGCCCCGAGGGTGCTGCCAGCCCAGGCAGTGGGGTGGTGGGATGGGGCCTTGTGGGGCGCCCCATGGCGGGACCCGCTCAGCGCCGCCCATCCCCGCCGGGTGCAGGGTGCGAATGTGCGGGTGGCCCCCGGGCCACCAACCCCCCCCTGCCCGGAGCCACCAACCCCCAGTCCCGGCCCAGGCGGGAAATTTCCCACGGGGCCGGAGCGGGAGGAAGGAGGAGGAGGAGGAGGGCGGGAGGGGAGGGGAAGGGGTGGGAGCTGGGGGGGATCCTTGGCGCGGGGCTGGGCCGGGCTCAGAGGAGCCGCGGGCGCCGGCGAGGGCAGCGGCCGGGGATGAGCTGAGCGGGCGCCATGGAGGAGGTGACGGAGGGCTACGTGTACGGCGGCGACAACCAGAGCGAGTGCGAGTACGCCGAGTGGGCGCCCTCGCCGGCGCTGCTGCCCGCCATCTACCTGCTGGTCTTCCTGCTGGGCACGGCGGGCAACGGCCTCGTCCTCTGGACCGTGTTCCGGGGCGGGCGCGAGCGGCGCCGCTCGGCCGACACCTTCATCGCCAACCTGGCCGCCGCCGACCTGGCCTTCGTGGCCACGCTGCCGCTGTGGGCCGCCTACGCCTGCCTGGGCTACCACTGGCCCTTCGGCACGGCCGCCTGCAAGGTGAGCAGCTACCTGGTCTTCGTCAACATGTACGCCAGCGTCTTCTGCCTCACGGGCCTCAGCTTCGACCGCTACCTGGCCATCGTGCGGCCCATGGCCACGGCCAAGCTGCGCTCGCGCGTCAGCGGGCTGCTGGCCACGGCGGCGCTCTGGGCGCTGGCCGCCCTGCTGGCGCTGCCGGCCATGGTGCTGCGGCGCGCGGCCGCCCTGCCCGGCGACGCCAAGGTCACCTGCTACATGGACTACGGCGGCGTGGCGGCGCCGGGCGCCGAGGCCGCCTGGGAGGTGGGCCTGGGGCTCTCCTCCACGGCGCTGGGCTTCGTGGCGCCCTTCGGCGTCATGCTCACCTGCTACTTCTTCATCGCCCGCACCGTGGCCAGCCACTTCGGGCCCGAGCGCGGCGAGGGCGGCCCGCGCGAGCGCCGCCGCCTGCTCACCATCATCGTGGTGCTCGTGGCCACCTTCGGCGCCTGCTGGCTGCCCTTCCACCTCGTCAAGACGGTCTACGGCCTCATGGACCTGGAGGTGCTGCCCTGGTCGTGCGCGCTGCACGCCTTCCTGCACAACCTGCACCCCTACTGCACCTGCGTGGCCTACGGCAACAGCTGCCTCAACCCCTTCCTCTACGCCTTCCTGGACCCCCGCTTCC